GCACCGACTGGATTCGGTAGAGGATGTTCCTAGCTAAAGAATGAGCGGCTGGTCAGTTGTCTCCGAGGACTTGGAGAGTCACGACAAACACCGATAATGTGACGTGTGCGCAAAGTTTTGAACTCAGACCGTCGACTAAGTATTCGTTTAATCGCCCAGAAGTTAAATTTACCAAAATCTGTGGTTCATGACATTGTGACACAGCATTTGAACATGCGCAAGGTGTGCGCGAAGATGGTCCCAAAAGTGCTCACTGACGACCAGAAATTGCGGCGAGTGGAAGTGTGCCAAGAAAATTTGAACATGTGTGAAAGTGACCCCCAATTTTTCAATAACGTAATCATAGGTGACGAGTCGTGGATCTTTGAGTATGATCCCGAGACAAAGAAGCAATCTTCCGAGTGGCACACGACGGCGTCTCCTCGCCCAAAAAAGGGAGAATGAGCAAATCCAAAGTGAAAACAATGCTCATTGTCTTTTTTGACATCAAAGGCATCGTCCACCATGAATTTGTTCCTCCTGGACCAACCGTCGACGCCAAGTTTTAGGTGGAAGTGCTCAGGAGACTCAAACGAAGGGTCAGTCGGGCCCGACAAGACATCGCAGCCGACTGGAAGTTGCACCACGACAACGCCCCGGCTCACACCGCCTTTCTTGTGAACAGCTACCTGACCAAGGCCGGCATCCCAACGCTTCCGCAGCCGCCCTACAGCCCAGATGTGCCCCCCAAAGTTTGGTTGGTTAAATTTTTGACAGCCCGCCTTATATGCTGACCCCATAAGATTATGATTACCATTGTAAAAATGTGATAAAACTAGCGTGGTTTACAGTACACTAAAATATTTATGCGAGTTCCATATCGAAATTGTGTAAACACGATGTGTATTTTACGTCGATTTATATGAAGATTGTTTATACAGGGCGGGCCATAATAAAATTCACTTTGTTTTTTAAATAATACCGCGAAACGCTAGAGGGCGATACCGTTCTATTGTATGATTCATGCATTTTCAGTAGCCATAAGTCACCAGGGAACCTTCGTGGTACAAGCGTTTTTTGAGAATAAAGCATCCCACGAAATAATCGCGGCGAAATATTCGCAACGAAATTCAGAGCGAAATTCGCAATCTGTTTCGCCTGTTTATTCATACCAAAGCGTCTTATTCGCTCCGCGAACGTGAAGGTTTCGACAGGTTGCGTACATTTTATTTTCGCCTTTTGCAATGAGCTCGTCTTCAGAAGAAGAGGAGGCACTTCTATTTCTTGCTTTAGAAGAGGAACAAAATGCACGGTAAGTTATGTTTATTTAACGCCATTTGATAGTTGGGTATGTATTAAGTTTAACGAAGTACATAAAACAAATATTTTCAATTTTGTTTAGGAAACGAAGGAAGTGGGTACATGATATTAACTTGTACACCGAAATAAATTTGGGGAATACCATACCTTGATGCCACAACTTCGGCTGGATGAACAGCGCTTTTACGTATATTTTAGAATGACTCCAGAGTGTTTCGATGAAATATTGAACTTAGTGAAAGATGAAATACGAAAATCTGACACAAATTATCGTGAAGCTATTTCGCCAGAAGAACGACTTGCTATTACACTCAGGTAAAAAAAGAATTTGCCTCCTCTGTTGGGTATATTATTGGAGTAAACCCAGTGCCGCTTGGGAAGGATGACATACTACTATCATACATACTTGCAGAATTCTGGGTAGACGCTGAAGACATTTCTTCAATATGTTCAAATTCTTCGTGCGCTATTAATTCGGCTATTTTTAGTTTTATTCGGGCTTGACGCTTTAAGGGAAGTGTTTTCACAGTCTGTGCATGTGCCAAGAAAAGTGAATCAATGGCCTCGTTCTCTTTTTTAGGTTTTTTACCTTCAAAATAATTAATGAGCTGTTGTACAGACGAAGATGGTGGTTCATAGCGTTTTCTGCTCGTTTTATATTTTGGTGTAGTTGCAGTCTGCGGAAAGGTGTGCCCTGGAGTAGTCACTGCTGTAGTGTTCAATGAAGAAGGTGGTGCTGTCTGTGTTGCCGAGGCGTTCTGTGCATCCACTGCATCAACATCAGCATTTTCATCTTCTCCATGGCCGCGGTCTTCCAAATTTTCGGTTTCTACATTTCCAGCCCTTTCCTGATATATATTTGAGTTAAATTCGGCAGTCTCATAATGTATGACGTCAATATCTTTCACATTCGACGACGTTTTGGCAAATGCCAAAAAAGGACGGAAAAATTCCATGTAGTCGACCCACTGCCATTTTTTCATGTTGCCCACTGCTTGGCCGGTCTTTGGTTTGGTAGATTTTATTTTGCAAATGTGTCTCTGATATTCTTCCACCTTTTTTTTACTTCGTCACCTAAAAACGATTTTTTTTATAGATTCCTTGCCACTAGTGACACCTTCTATACCATTGGGCATAGCTTTCGAGTTGGCTTTACAACAGTGAGTGCAATCGTAACCGAAGTCTGTGAAGCGATATGCAGACATATGGAGCATATACAGGGTGTTCCATAATTATTGCGACAAAATGATAGGGGTTGTAGAGGGCATAAAAATATGCAATTTTGCCTTATAAACCCCTGTTCGTAAATATGCCGTTTGAGCACTACCGCTAATTTTACCTTAAGAGAAACAAAAAATTCAACGGCTGCAAAATGTTCGTCTAGCACATTTCATGGTCTCGCCGATTTGTAAAAAAAGCCTGCTGTGTTTACATATTTGTTATCGTAAATTCTCCACACCGATTCATTTAATTTATCTGAGTGGTGCGTCAAACTAGAGGCCAATCCGCGTACAAGCGTGCGTGCTATTGCACATGAAATGGGAGCGTCTCAAACTACTGCTTGGCGGGTTCTCCATGACCAGCAACTACACCCATACCACCTTTTAAAAGTCCAAGCCATGGGTCCAGAAAAATATCTGCCGCGTCGACGTTTTTGTCGTTGGTGGCTGCAGCAGGAGTTGAGGCAACCAAACTTTGGTCGCTACGTTTTGTTCACTGACGAGTCCTGTTTCACAAAGGAAGGTTATTTTAATAGCCGTAACAGTCACATTAGGGATGAAGAAAACCCTCATGCCATAGCCATCCATAGAGACCAACATAGTTTTCAATTAACATCTGGTGCGGCATTGTGGACGAGCATATCATCGGGCCATATTTGCTTCCACCACGTTTGGATGGGCATGCTTATGGTCGATTCTTACAGCATGTGCTACCGGAACTATTAGAAAATGTGCCACTGAACATAAGAGCCAACACGTGGTTTCAACACGATGGCGCTCCAGCCCACTTTTCTTTACAAGTGCGGCAGTATTTGGACGACAAATAGGTGGATCGGCCGAGGTGGCCCTGTGCCTTGGCCTGCGCGGTCACCCGACCTGACCCCACTGGATTATTTTCTCTGGGGCCATCTGAAAGCTTTAGTGTACGAAACTACTGTTCCTAACCAACAAGAGCTACTGGGAAGAGTGATGGCCGCATCCGCACATGTTCAGGACAAACCGGGGGTATGCCACAGAGTTCGCCGATCATTGAACAATCGTGCACAGCTGTGTATTGAGCAAGGTGGAGGACACTTTGAGCAATTACTGTAGGTAAGCTGTTTCAAGAAACTGATCTTTTTTTTTGCTGCATCCCAAACGGCATATTTCCGAACAGGGGTTTATAAGGCAAAATTGTTCATTTTGATGCCCTCTACAACCCCTATCATTTTGTCGCAATAATTATGGAACACCCTGTATATTTACCAGAACCAACAGAGAATATATGGAAAAAATGTGCTGAAGAATTTGAAAATAGATGGGGATTTCCCAATTGCATTGGCAGCGTGAACGGTAAACAGGTAACAATCAAGAGACCTAACAACAGTGGCTATAATTACTGGTGCTATTTACATAAATATTCAATAGTACTTATGGCCATTGTTGGCCCGGACTATAAATTTATATGTGTTGATATTGGTAGTTTCGGAAAAAATAGTGGTGGGGGTATTTTCGAAACCTCAAACATGGGAAAACGATTTGAATAAAATTTAATGATTGTCCCTGCACCTAGATTTCTTCCTGGGCAAAATGAAATCTGCTCGTACGTCTTAATTGGTGATGAAGCATTTGCTTTAAAACCATACCTTATGAGACCATTTCCTTATAAGCAGACTTTAACAGACGTCAGAAAAGAGAAATACAATATAAAACTTTGTCGAGCTAGAAGGGTCGTGGAAAATGCGTTCGGTATTTTGTCTCAAAAATGGCGAATATTTTACAGGCCATTAGAAACTAAAGTAGATACTACTATTCTAATTGTACGTGTGTTTTACACAATTTTTTACGAAGTAAAAGTGGCGATGACAAATATTTTCAATTCGTAGATCCCCCAGAACCCGTGCTTGGAGCTTTTACTGATATAGCAAATGATCCTCGGCGGGCAGCAAGGCTAGCATTTTCTACTCGTGACAAATTCGTAAATTATTTTAATTCTGATATGCCTATGCCCAATATATAGAATGTCCGTTTTCACATTTGGGTAGACTGTAAATTATTTAACAAGTTAATAAAAAATATTAGGTACATACCATTTGTATTCACATCCAAATCTTGTCTTTCTTTCTCACATTCCTGTATTCATCGTTCGACAAATCATACAAACAAGGATACTTTTTCAATATTTCTATCAATAATTCCGTTTTTGCCATTGCGAATTTTTGAAGAACAGCGTCAAAAACGCGGTCAAAGGCGAACTGAAATACGCCGCGATAAAAACGCTGGAACAATCGCATTCGCTTCGCACAAGTCTGAGCCTGTCCCTAAACCGCCGCGTTTTAATCTGATCGCGAATTCATCGCCGCGAAATTTTCTCAGCCAAAGCGAATATTTCGCGCCGGTTTGTGGGATGCTTTATCGTTCTTGTGTCACTGTGCGACGTTTGTTCCGAGTCAAATATGGATTGCTGCGCATTCATCAGTGCCTGAGCATTAATTTAATGAAGCAACGGTTGAGGAGGTTTCAAGAATTGGTTCGAGATTGTCAACAAGACGTGTCAAGGTCGCCGCGGACTGCAGGAACGGATCGAAGAATAAAGGAAGTGAGTGAGACTTGAAACTTCATCCATATAAGATTTAAATCGTTCGAGAATTAAAGGACACTGACCTTACAGAGAGATTAAAATATTCAGTTGCTTGAGCGGTTCTGTGACTTGAGAAATACCCTCCTTTTAGACGAGGCTCATTTTTATTTGAACTGTTTTGCGAGCAAGCAAAACTGTTGATACTAGAGTGCGGAGCATCAAAAACCACTTCATTTCCAAAACGTCGCAGATTGGACATTATCGCATTATCAGCTAGCGGTTTGATTGGAACCTACTTTTTTGAGAACGATCGCGGGCAATCTGTAACTGTTAATTCAGAACGTTACGTTCGAATGCTGGGAGAGTTTTTGGCCCCAAAGCTCCAAAATTTTGATGGATACTTCCTTTTCAACAGGATGGCGCCACCTGTCATACGTGTCGTACAGTAAATGTTCCCTGGAAAAGTGATATCGAGGGGAGGCGACATGGATTCGTCACCACAAAACCATGACTTGTCCCCACCCGATTTCTTTTTATGGGGATATCTCAAGAGCCGATTCTACAATGCTAATCCAAAGACCCTCAGCGAATTGAAGCAAATCATTAGACACGAAATGGCGGCAAGTTTCCGTTTGGAAGAGTATTTTCGGAGATCTGGAGGCCATCTTTTAAAACATAAATTGCCAATGTCTTTTTATATCATAAATATTAGCAAACTCTTCTAGGTATAACCTGCTTTCATTTATATTGTTTTCAAAAGCGAATTTTATTATGGTCCATCTGCAATATCAAAAATGCTTTCAGTTGATGTGTAATGGTTAAGCAGTATTACGAAGTTCAATCCCTATCGCAGATTGAAATCTTTTTATACATACAGGGTGTCCGCAAAGTTGGGGTTTTCCTTTTCAGAAACGACTACCCTTGAAATAACAAAGGTATTGTGTAGTGAAACGAGGGCGACCAAGTAAAAAAAAAAATAAAGGAAAAAGTACTCACTCTCCAGTTGACGAGAAGGGCTAAGTACGTCTCTGCCCGAAATCATACCGCTCCAACAGAAAATTAAATCAGCTGAAGCGCTACCGAGCAGACGCAGAAACCACATTGATTGTCTTACACTTAATGGCACATCTTCTAACAAGGAAGGCAAAATGTTGCGTAAAAAGTCTAGCTATTGCATCCCGTCCAATCGATTTGGGAGAATAAATGGTCCAATGAGCATACCGTTCACCATGCCAGCCCAAACAATCACCGAAAATGTTTGTTGAAAATGTGCCCGACGGACAGCGTGCGGATTTTCTACTGACCAAACATGAGTGTTGCGAAAGTTATTCACCCCATTACGCGTGAACGTAGATTCGTCTGTCACCAATATGCACTTCAAACAGTCCGGATTATTGTCATGTTGATGCAACAACCACTCACAAAACCGCACTCTTGCTGGAAAATCGTCAGGTTGAAGGGCTTGTACATGTTGGACGTGAAACGGATACAGCCCCTCTTCACGCAGCGTTTGCCACACTTTAGTTTTTGATACTTGCACTTCTCTAGCCACGTCTCTAGAGATTCTCGTCTACGCGATTACCTCTACATGCGTGACCGTAACCATGTGTTGAAGGTTGCATACTGACCTGACACACTGACCCCGACCCAGTTCTGTCGTCGGGTTGAGCCAGTGACCTTGTACCAGTCGGTGATGTCGCGGCTACAGGACGGTATTCAGATATTTTTGATGTTGCAGAGCCCTTTATCTCGGTTCCCTTAAGACATTGGTGTATATGGTACTAAGAAAAAATGCTTATGTTTTCAAGATCTACACGTCGTGTAAAGGAAAACCCCAACTTTGCGGACTCCCTATATGGAATTTTATGATATAAGATGTAGAGGCATGCAGGCAAGCTGTGATCATTCACTTCTTTGCCATTGTGGGACAAACTGTTCAAAAATCTGAATTAGTTTTTGTTTGTTTGTTTGAAAAGTAGAAGTTTGTGTGGCTTCAAATTCAGCCCTCTCAGAAAAAAAATCTCTCCCTACCGGTAGTTACCGGTCGTCAAGCAACGGCGCAGGATGTAAGAGATGCTCCGATGGACCACCGATTCTATCTCGTAGAAAATTCACCTCCATTTGAGAAAAATATTCACGCTGCATTTTAAGTATAGTTCGAGTATGAACGGTTGGCTGTTGAAAATATGAATCCAATATCATATCGCTCAAATTTGATCTAAGGAAGATATACAGGGTGTTCCTTAATGATATGCTAATATTTAAGGGTGTGAATCTAAACGAAAAATTAATGTTAGCTTGCTTTATAAAGTATGGTCCAAAAATGTTTCCTTACAAAAACTCGGGGTGTTGAAGTTTAAGGAAAAAAATGGAAATTAATTAATATTTTCAGAACCGCTTCAGATATTTCACTGATATTTACTACCTAGTTAATAAAGTTGCATATTTTTCAATGACAAAATAATTTTTAGCTTTAACAGTGGCGTGCGTACGGGGATTGACTTCGATATTTTTTTTAAAAAAATGGCACGACAATGGTTTTTTGCCAAGTAAAAATTATTTTTGAATTCCCCATTCAATTTAAAACAAATAATCTCTATTGAATTGTTTTCCTTCGATGCGCCATTTTTGAGTAAAAAAATAAAAACCGTTCTATTGTCCGAAAAATTTAATGTAATAATTGAAGAATGCAATTTAGCAAGAAATATCTTGTTGCTCTGGAATATGTCACTGGCTTTTGACATCTGACAAGTTTCTGTTATTCAAATCTGTTCGCTGTGAAATATTTTTCGTTGTTTAGCTTTTACAATCTTGTTAATAATGGTGAATTATTCAAATGCACAAATGGCGGAAATGCATTACGTATATGGCCTTGCCGACGGTAATGGTGAGCAAGCCAGACGGATTTATCACCAGAGATATCCCGATCGTGCTTAGTCAGATAGTCGAACCTTTTCTAATATTCATCGTCGTCTTGTTGGAACTGGTTCTGTCCGAAAAGGAACATCTGAAGGTAGACCTCTAAGAGTAAGAACACCTGAAATTGAGAAAGCTGTGCTGCACGAAGTCGAAGAACATCCTGAAACGAGTACGAGGAAGATAGCTAGACACTTAAATATTTGTCATCAAATTCTTTAGAGAATTTTAGTGGATTTTTTGTTATATCCTTACCATATGTTAAGAGTACAGGCATTACTTCCCATTGATTTTAAATATTCGCATATCATTAAGGAGCACCCTGTATATATATACATATGTTAAACACATGTATCTATAGTGGTAATCCGCCGTAAAATTGATAGGGTTAAATGCTACATACATTGCACTTTAATCAGAAAAGACGATTTATTGTTATCAATATTTGTTCCTTGAATCCTTCAACGATTGCATTTCTATACCTGCCTAGTCCTTATCGTGTCTCCGGTTTTGTTGACGGCACTTCTGGCCCCTTTCACGTTCATCCTGTCTATGAAGATGGTACCCCAAAGCCATGACGCCAAGCCGAATGGTTGAAGATAAAATATTTCCTTTTTCGATATGACTGTACAGTTCGGCATCACTGGCCACAGGCACGCCAGCACTGAAATAAATATATCGTACGCTCATGTTTTTGGAATTTGTTCCATTATTCGATCTTCCAAGTTGTAATCGAGAACCTTTGTACAGGGTGGCCGATTAAGAATGCGAGGTACCGTATCTGGGAATCTATCCATCGCACATACGGGTATTTGAATTAAAAATCCGGACATAACTTTTTTCATTTTAAGTTACTTCAAAAACTGTAATTAGCTCTGTTATGGTTAATAATGCTACTAAGAAGAGCAGGCAAAGAAATGAAATGCTTATAGTTGACAAACGTGAAAATACAGCAGACGCTCGATAATGTAAACTAATTTAATCCAAGTGTGGTTCACATTATCGAACGTGATTTATATAACATTTGATTTATTAAAAGAAACGTTTAATACATACTATTTATAACAAAATAAACAAATAATATTCTAACAGCGATAAGTATTTTTTTAATTAGAAGAAAAAAATTTTGTTTGCGTAAATTTGTGCTTAGCATTGTCTTCCAATGCCTGCGCCCGTAATTTACGAAGAACTAAAATATCCGTGTATGAAACTTCTTTTCTTTCAGCCCAATCTAAAGCTTGGTTAAAAACTTGTATAGCTTGCGCGTCAGTCACTAGAGTTCTGACTTCAATGGGATCGTTCTCATCATCCTCACTGTCCATATCCTCCTCCTTATCAGCATCATTCGTCTGCTTATCTTCGTTCCATAAATTAATATCAGCAGGAGTACAAACAATGTTGGGATTCACTGTTTTCAGTAAATCAACAACATCCAATGACACACTAATAACATTATCATTATTGGATCGCAAACGTTCTCTAATTACGCTTAAGGGGACATCGTCTTCTTCATCATCTTCATTATTGGTACAAAAGAGATTGTTCCAACATTTTTGAATAGTTTGCTGGTTAAGTTCATTTCAGGTCATAAATCAGCTTCTCGTAATGTTACTTTTTTTAAAGCCTCAGATAAGTTTTCAGGATTATTTGATAAGACAGACGAAAGTAGAAACTTCCTATAGTATAGTTTGGTGAGTCTTATTATATTCTGGTCCATCGGTTGAATTAACGGTGTTACGTTGGGCGGCATGTACGTGACGAAAATTGACCCATCCCTGCTCCTCAGTTGTTGCTCGGGAGGATGACTTGGTGCATTATCCAATAGTAACAACGCTTTCATTGGAAGCTTCTGTTGTTTTAGGAAACCTTTTACCTACGAATTGAAAACACATTTCAAATTATGAATGTAGCATTTGTGATAATTGATTGTCATACCTGAGGGACAAAGCACCTGTGGAACCATTTCAGGAATATACTGCTAGTCATCCAAGCGGTTTTTGAACAGTCATAATCAACAGGGATATTAACATTTTTAAATGAGCTCGGATTTTTTGCTTTCCCGATTAGCAGTGGCTTTATTTTGTGTGAACCATTAGCATTAGTGCAGGCTAGAAACGTTATTCGTTGTTTCTCCGGCTTTCTTCCCGGGGCAGATTTTTCAAATGATGCAGCATAGGTTTTCTCTGGTAACATTTTCCAATAAAGGCCACTTACATCTGCGTTGTAAATTTGTTCCATTCTTAAATCTAACTCGGTAATTGTTTTCATCAATTTTTCTTTGAATGGTTGCACTAATTGTGGTTGTGCTGATAATTTTTCACCAGATATAGACAGCAGTCGAATTCCAGTTTCTTTTAGTTTTTCATTTAAGAGTCTCGCTCTCTGTTTAAGTACTTCGCCACTAACTGGGACATGATTTTCCCCTTGTTTTAAAAACCACTTATACAGGGAATTTTCCATTTTAGGTGCCTTCGCATTTTTTAAAAGTTTTTCTTTTTCCCGGACCTCCAAATGTATTGCACGTTCTTTGTAAAATTTGAGTTTTCATACGCTTAATTTTACAGATTGTTACTTTCGATACTCCATATTTTTTTGCTAACTGTGACACTCCCGCACCTAGTGCAACTTCGTCTATGATTTTCACTTTCCCACTTGTAAAATATATTATCGCGTGCAATGTATTCACTTAAGTTCAAAAATGAAATACATACGTAAGTATAAACGTATCCTAAACGATCATACGACTGACCGAGTTTGTCGTATTTTATCGCAGAGGTGAATCCCCTACACTCTACATCATAAATCGGGGACTCCCGGACGCCCGACATAAATCATCGAGGCTTCAGCATTTTACCGTCGCGCTGTTTCCGTGCGCCGAGAGTTGTTTACGTTATCGAGCGTACACATTGTTTACGTTATCGCGCGTTCCGTTTGATCCCATAGAACGAAGTTTGTGTTTGCATTAGCGGAAGTTTTCATTATCCCGTGTTTACGTTATCGAGCGTCTGCTGTATTTATTAAAAAAATATAAAAAATGTTATTAAGAAGATGACAACCAAGAATCGTCTAAATAGTCTCCTAGCTCTGGTGCAGAGTCTTCATCATTATCACCAGACAAATTAGACTGGCCCATCGGTTCTTCAGGCAGGAGCATTTCAACAGTTTCCTTGAGATTTATGATATCAAGATTGCAAGACTCCCTGCCAAACTTCCGAGCGTAGTTTTGGCGGTATAACCGAAAATGTTTATTGCGAGCCTCTGCGGCCTCTTCTGACATCATTCCTATAGGCAATAAAGTTTTTTCAATGACAGTGGGTCCATGGAGCAGTATTTTGTGAAGAGTTGGTGTCATTGGATGTCACGAATATAATTGAACGTACAGTTGTGCAGTGTCCAAACAAAATATTTCAAATTTTTGTTTGTCTATTTTATGGTCGCTTGATATCGCTTCTAAAATTACTTCAAGATGAAAAAGGAGACGGGGATCTATACCGGTTATTGTTGCTGATAGCTCATGATCCGTAAAAAATCTCCTACTGGTATTCCCAGCATTGCTGTTTCCGACACCAGCTTTTGGAACATCAACTGTAAGACCCATTTGGGATCTAAATTCCTTTTGCATCTCCAATTTCCTTTGTTGAACTATTTGTTTATCTCTTTCACTTCTTAATTGCCATTTCTTCACTGGCAATTTGTACGGAATATGAAGCACTCCTTCAAACAGTCTTATTCTGGCATGCAAAATTTGTAACGGTTTTACCGTCCGATCGTATTTATTAAATCACTTCTCGATTATCATTTCATTAATCCCATCTCTAGCTTTTCTACTTGGAAAATTTTCCGCTTGGAGCGCTTGATGCGGAGTTCCTGATCTGCGATCTTCCTCGCGCTTCTTTTTCACTTGAGCCGCCGATCGAACAACAGCTAGAAATTTCTTCTCAGTAGCACAAGGTTATATAGCACCATGTGCTAGAATTTTCTAGAATGTGTGTCCGTATAGGACAAAAATGATTGGGGCCACCCCCTTTCTCTTTCCCTTTCACTTTGCCTAGCCTTGGCCAATATTTTCACCCATGCATGTACCTTGGCAGCGCCATCGCCTTTAACTTCGCCTACAACTGGTTGTGAAGCCACTATATGGAGGTCACCCCTCATAACTGGGACCTCCCCTTCAAGCCCCTGGCCATCCTGGCTTCAGTCGAGTAAAAATGGACCAGCGAAAGATAAGTCGATAGCGTTATAGCAGCGCCAAAGATGTAAAACTTATTTTGTTATTTTTGTAAAATTGTAATGTAATGAAAATGCCTTTTTTTTGTTAAATAAAATCTGTTAAATTTTTGTGTTCTGTTTGTTCTTCTATCCTCTAGCCATGCCATGGTCGACACACAGCTACACGCCTGTAGATGTCTTCATGCCACCGACTGAGCTACCGGAAGCTAATGGTAACCCCCTTTCTGTGATTGTGCAGAAAAGTTGGAATCTTCATTGCATTCCATCTTTTCTGGACTTTTTGCGGAAAGGAAGCGTTACAAATTGATAAGCCAAATTTTAAGGAATCTTCATTACAAGGACGTTTGTTTGATAAATCGTTAAAGTCTTTGGATGTAGCACCGCTAATATAGCATTTCATCGTGGATTTTGAGTTGGTTGCGGCATTACACATGTTCGCATCAACCATTGTGAGCATCATTACATGTTTTACTAGAAAGCTTTTGTTTAATTGCGCGACCTGTGTCTATTCCGAAGACTTTATTTTGTTTTCTATACAGGGTGTTTCAGTTTATTGTTGCATAACTTTAAGATTCGATATAACTTTTAAAATTAATGCATAAAGTCTATATAAACATGGGTCGAAAAATGCGTGGCTTCCGAAATACAGGGTGTTTAAATTTACTTTCTAAAATAGTTTTTTTTAAATATTTCGAACAATATTTGATGTATAACAGTGAAAATTGGTATGCAAGGGGTTTTTGATACGACAAACGAACCATGGGAATAGTTTTACTGTAGCCGCTAGAGGGCGCTCTCTACTGTACCTGTAGTGCATTAAAATGACCGAAAAAAATTTCTTAGTGCAATTTTTTGCTTTTTGAATAAAAAAAATGATTCTTCGCACTTTTCAACATAAAAAAGCTCTCTTGTGAATTTTCGTTATAGTTAGCCGTTTTTGAGATATTTCGATTTATGATAAAATAAAGTTAAAAAGTCAGTATCTCGATAATTTTTAGAAGTAGGTTGTGCCTGCAAATATTTTTGAAATTGAAAGCACAATAAGGTTAAACGTCAATCAGTTGACAGTTAGTTTTGTTGTCTTTTGAAACCTGAAACGTTTTTTTGCAATTGTGAATGCACAAAATTTAGTTTCTTTTACCTGTTTTTTTTTTGTAAGTTTTATAAAAATGCCATTTTTATTCTCCAATCAAGAGTTCGCGGATATTCATTTTGTGTATGGCTTTGTAAATGGAAACGCAGCAGAAGCAGCCACAAAATACGCACGAAGATTTCCAAACAGACGACATCCAACTCGCTCAGTATTTGTAAGAGTGCATCGCCAAATAATTGAAAATGGTTTTGGAAATCTCCAAAGCGATCAAAACATAAATGTTCGTCAGCGCAGATTTACCCGTATGATTCTGCGTGAGTTTGATAGAGATCCGACCACAAGTATTAGGAGAGTTTCTGGTGCCTTGGGAATTTCAGCAAGCCATGTTCACAGTGTTCTTAGAAATGACCATAGACGTCCTTACCATTTGCAACCTGTGCAAGGACTACAGCCAGGGGACGGAGAACGAAGAATCACATTTTGTCAGTGGATTCTTGATAGAACTGATAATAATAGGGAGTTTTTAAGTAACGTTTTTGGACCGATGAGTCATGCTTCACTAGACGTGGAGTGGTAAATTTTCTTAATCAACATATTTGGTCGCATGAAAATCCGCATGCAGTTCGGGAAAGAAATTTTCAGCATGAATTTAGTGTGAACGTGTGGATTGGTATCTACCGTAATCGACTATTTGGACCCTACCTTTTCCCTGCAAGGTTAAATGCTGCGACCTTCTTGGAATTTTTAAAGGCTGAACATGCAAATATGTGGGATGATGTTATGTTAGATTTAAGAAGATTGGCCTGGTTCCAGCTTGATGGTTGTCCAGCTCATTATTCGAGAGTAGTTAGAAACTGGCTAGACGAAAATTATCCAGGAAGATTGGCCTGGTTCCAGCTTGATGGTTGTCCAGCTCATTATTCGAGAGTAGTTAGAAACTGGCTGGACGAAAATTATCCAGAAAGATGGATCGGCCGTGTAGGACCAGTCGCCTGGCCTCCACGATCCCCTAACCTAAATCCATTAGATTTCTTTGTGTGGGGATTTCTAAAAGAAAAAGTGTACCAGACTCCCGTAACCACAAGAGATATGCTAATAGACAGAATCAGGAATGATGAAATAAGGCCTTATTTGAATAATGCTATACCACGTTCGATCATTCGTAGATGTGAATTGTGTATTGAACAATTGGGTTTACATTTCGAGCAACTACTTTAGATTTTGTATGTTTGTCCTAACTATCCAATAGCATTTTAGTTGTAAATAATTAATTTAATTTGTTAAAAATAATATTGGAAAATTAAACAAATTAATATTCTGTTTTTTTTTGTGTTTATTTGGAGTTAGGAATTATTGCTGTGTTTAAAAACACAATCTAAATGATCATCTTAATTATTTGTAATGCCCAAATCGAAAATAAAAAAAATATTATTTTCCCATAAAAATCAAAATATCTCAAAAACGGCTAACTATAAGGAAAACTCACAGGAGAGCTTTTGTATGCAGGAAAGTGCGAAGAATCAGTTTTTTTGTTCAAAAAATAAAAAATTGCACTAAGAAAAAAATTTCGGTCATTTTAATACACTACAGGTACAGTAGAGAGCGCCCTCTAGTAGCTACAGTAAAACTATGCCCATGGTTCGTTTTTTCGTACCAAAAAACACTTGTATACCAATTTTCACTGTTATACATCAAATATTGTTCGAAATATTTAAAAAAAAAACTATTTTAAAAAGTAAATTTAAACACCCTCTATTTCGGAAGCCACGCATTTTTCGACCCATGTTTATATAGACTTTGTGCATTAATTTTAAAAGTTCTATCGAATCTTAAAGTTATGCAACAATAAACTGAAACACCCTGTATAATTATACAATAAGACCAATCATAATCGGGATACATATTTTTCTAATAATGCTGATATTACAATTAAAATTGACAAAATAGGTTGCACAAACCTGCATCAGAAAAGTCCATGTTGGAAAACTGGTACACGATTCGTAATAACTTGTAAAAAGTTTGCAATATTGTCGTCACAATAAATACGCTGAGAACAGATACGTGAGCAATGAAGAATGATCAAATTCGCATCGAGACTACTGCCGAGAAATAGCAGTGAGCAAACAAAAAAGTGTGGTGCTTTATCTACCATGTGTTCCGGCATCTTAGGCACATACCAAATCGACTTTTGTCAGGATTTTTAATTCAATCGTAGAGGCTTGCGGTAAAAAAAACTATTACTAAAACGGCCAAGAGAAAAACCTGGAAAATATTTACAAGTTTCTGAAAAGGCTGTTAGGGGGCGTAACTGCAATCTTGAATTTTAAAAAGTGATGTTTGTGTGAATTCTGCTATATTAAATTAACAAAAAAATACCTGGATAATGGAAACTTTTTTGTTTGACATTTTTTGGTGTATCTATAAAAATAAAGTGGCGGGTGGTATTCAAAGGTTTCCGTAAAAACACCCTGTAGGCTGAGCCAAACTTGGAAGATCACAAGAAAATATTAACCGCGTACTGGGATATATTGAAGGAAATCCTCATGTTAGCATCCTCTTGAGTTGTGGAAACGTCCAAAATAAAAATGAGCAATTTATGAGAAAAGATGAGCACCCTAAAAAATAATGATTAAAAATGAGAAAAATAGGACCCTGGCCACCCTGCAGAGCATTTGACTAATACGTATACGTATATAGTTGAGCTAATTTACGAACAGTTCGCAATTGACCTTTTTACATACCTATCAAATCCAGCATGCTTTGATGATTGATCAGCACAACACATCCGCTGTTCTTAACGATATTTTCTTTTCCTTCCACTTCATAAGTAACTCCCATGAACTTGCAGCAAGCTCGCAGACCAGCTGCTGGTATCCTGAGGGAATGATTGAATCATACTCGGGAACCGAAAAGAAAGAGTGCTGCAAAGCACATCGCACGCTAATGGTAACGCGGCATCTTTTCCGATATGGCGGGATACCAGCGCGCCGATCTTGTTGATTATCCGAAAAGATGCCGCGTTAGCATGGGAGTGCCATGTGTATCGTAGCTCTCTTCCTTTTCGATTCCAGTGTTGATTTTTTTGGAATTTCTGTGCATTTTCGGAGTAGCACACATCCAAGAACAGTAGGAAGAAGCATTCAGAAGAACAACAACACATACAGTATTATATATGTACAGCGCATTTTTAATTGCGGATTGGTCTCCAATTCGTGAAATGAATGATGTAAATGAAGCATGTGATAATTTTTATTCAATCATAAGAGAAATTTTCGAGAACAACGTTCCTAAATATAAAATGAATCCTCGTTCATATCCTCCTTGGTTTACAAAGGAAATTATTTCAAATATAAGAGAAAATGATAGGTTTAGGAATAAGTACGAAGCAACCCATTCAATCCACTGTTATTTAAAATTCAAAGAACTATGATTAAAAATCAAATTATAGTCTCCCATTCAGCTTACATTCAAAATGCTGAGGATAGGATCAATAAGCATCCCACTAATTTTTGGTCATTTGTAAATGCAAAAAAGAAAAACTCTAGAATTCCAGGGAATATGTGTATGTATAACTAGAAACTGAAAATAACGCGCGAATGCTGTTGTCAATATGATATCTGTGGATGTGAAATTTGTGTAACTGTCACATATTAGTTGATAAACCTGGTACCAACTACCAGCAACTTAGGATTTCAAATATTCAAGTTTTTACCAATAATATAACATTTGTCCGACTACTGGAGGTGCCCGGGTTACTGGCATATTCACCCTATAGACCTACAGAAGAGGTTACATAGATAAAGGTCTAAAGGTTACATAGCTATGGATTTTGCGAATTAAAAATCATACTTTTCCTGTAAGTTACCACATAGCTATTCAACTTCTAGTGACCTTCGCGGAATCAAATATTTTCTAACCTCAAATTATTTTTTTGACTAAGCGTCTGTGTGTTTGGCATTGTTGCCAGTTACCTAGGAATCTAGGTTGCCTGACCTTAATATTAACATAGTATATTATCATACTCACAATGCATTTCTGCTGTCTCGTGGCCTAAGTAACATAATTGGTATGGGGGCACATGCCGATATGACACAGACGATTCCGAAGACGACGAATTGATGTAGTACTTGGCCGCATTGCTGATGTTCCACAGTATCGTCAGAAGCACTGTCAGTGCCATTGTGTAGATAAGAAAACCCATGTCTGCAAAAATGAGCCAAAGTCAGTATTCGTTCTATTTTGGATCTGTAACCTATTACTGATATTTCGCGTTTATTACTATAATTTACCAAACACTTAAATTATTAACGTAGTTGTTTTTTGCTGCGTCGATTCTGCGTTTAGATCCTCAAAAAATGAGTTACACGGGACCCCCGATAATCCGGCGCCCCCTGTAATCCGTCATGTCTTTGAATATGTATTACATACATACGTATTTGACAATCTTCGCTAATGTAGATCACGCAGGTTTGAACAGGTTAAAACTTGTACGCGCCACCGCTATCATGCTCGATGCGTAAGCATTGTTTTACTTAGTTTGAATTTGACTACTGGTGATAGCGGTACGGCCTAGCGTGCGTTCATTGTTTACTATTTATTCATTGTGTATTAAGTATAGTACCTAGTAATGTCATCATAAACACAGCGAAAGCACAAAACATTGACAAAGAAAAATGTGATATTTTAGACCGCATAAATCGCAATGAAACTTTCAATAGTTTAGCAAGTGAATACGGCGTAGGCCGATCTACAATTTATGACATTAAAAGAAACCACGAGAAGATCAAGTAGTTCGTGTCAACTACTGACTGCGGCCCAGGCAAGAGACAGACACTCAAGAAAGCTGAACATCCAGAAGTGGAAGAAGCTTTGTACATGTGGTTTCTTCAGGAAAGAAATAGGCATGCACCAATTTCAGGACCCATGTTGGACATGAAAGCTAAGTTCTTTTATAAGGAGATAACAAAAAAAGATGATTTTGTGGCCAGCAAAGGATGGCTAGAACGTTTTAAAAGTCGTCATGGCATACGTTTAATGACTATTACAGGAGAGAAACTTTCTAACTATGCCACCTGCATAGAGCCCTTTAAATTAAGATTTTTGCGAAAGGTGAACGATTTTTGGCGTGTGATGCCTAATAAAACTTACGTTTCTTGTAACGAAAAATCCGTACCTGGACGAAAAGTAAGTAAAGAGCGTGTAACCATACTACCATGTGCTAACGCTGCGGACACACACGCGCTTAAGATGATGGTCATTGGGAAATCTAATAAACTACGGGCATTCAAAAACATTGATTTACCTGTACACTATTACGGACAAAAAAGTGCATGGACGACAAAAGACCTTTTCAAAAAGTGGTTTGATGAATGCTTCGTATCTGAAGTTAAAAAATGGTTAAAAGATCATCATTTTCCTCAAAAAGCGTTGTTGCTTCTTGATAACGCTCCCGGTCATCCGTCTGAAGAAGAACTAACAACTGAGGATAAATGCATCACTGCGATGTTTCTTCCGCCAAATTGCACTGCACTGATTCAACCAATCGACCAGAATATCATTCAGTTTGTCAAGCAAGACTATAAGAAAAACCCACTTCTGAGAGCCGTATCAAAACACCAACCAATAGAAAAAACTTTAAAAGAATTTAATATGAAAGACTTGGTTTTTGTTCTTTGTCAGTCGTGGAATGCGTTAGCGTCATCAACTATTAAATCTTCTTGGAAAAAGTTATGGCCAGATATAGTCACCACTCCTAGCAACGTTCCACAAATCAGTGTTACTTCGGAAGTTATAGAACAATTTGCTACTGAAACACAGATAAGTCCGGAATATTTGGAAATCTGGTGCCGTGGAATGGATAAAGAGGAAAATGTTTTTCATGAAATGTCTGACGAAGAGATTATAAAAGAGGTTTCTGATTATACAACAAACAATCAAGAAAATAACGACGACGTGATTGCAACAGCTCCACAAGTCACAGAACAAGACGCAATTAACGCCTTTGAGCTAGGTTCACAATGGGCTGAAGAGAATGGTACATCCTACAACGAACTTTAACTTTTGAGAAGACTGAGGGACAAAGCTCTGATCTCGCGTTATAACAACCTTAAACAAAACAAAATTGATGAATATTTCCAAGCTTCATAATTTGATAAATTGCTTAATGATTTTGATTAATAATTCTTGATTATTTTGGTACATATGTATGTGCATTTATGCTTAATTTTTTAATAAAACGTAAGCTCTCTATTGTTATTTAATTAACTAAATTCGACATACATAAACTATGTATGATTTGTACTTCCAAGTACATACATATACATAACATATATAATATATATATACCATTGGATAAGTAATTTGTCGCATAACAAGGTACCCTTTTGTAAAAAATTTCGGACTATAGGGGGTTTTAGGCAGTGCTCTATAATCCGACAAATTCGATAGTCCGACACTGCCCTGCATAATGTTTTTCAGATTACCGGAGGTCCACTGTATTAACAACAAACCCTTAATGATCATGAACACGTACTCCTGCTCCAAATGAAAATCCAGTCGACAGCATAAATCCTCCAAAATGTAATAATTAGTAATGATAGTAGTGTATGTTCAAGAAACAACAAAAGCAGTCTTTATACATTAATATTAGTAATAATAATAGCAGTTCATTATTTGGTTCTGCGAACAAGTATTTCAAATTTACAGAATGCTCCTTCAGGGGTACATTTGATTTGGTCGTTAAAATTAGAAGCTCGAGTGTAACTTGTTATGCCAATGATACTCAATTATTGTTACGCTTTCCACCTGATGAATTAAAATTAATCTTGATCTAGAAAGTATTAATAATTATTCTGCGACTAATAACATGAAACTCAATCCTCAAAAATCAAACGTACTATTTTGCAAGAAAGAAAAACGGAGACATCTGATAGCAAGCCTGAACCTGAAACTAAGCAGCACAGGTTTAAAATTTAATCGTGTAGGTAAAAGTTTGGGTCCACTCATAGACGAAGTCCTACGTTTTCACATGCGTGTCAACAGCGTTATCGAAACATGCACATAGGTATAGGCACTTCCTCGGTTTTAAAACAAAAAAGCGATTATGTGAATCATTAATTATTTCCAAAATTTTATATTGTATCATAGATCCTTGATTAGATCATATGTTTTCCTACAGACTACAAAAAATTCAAAATTCGTGTTGCCGCTTGACTAACAATCTAAATGAAATATGATCATGTAACTGGCCCAATCAAAGATTCAGGATGTCACAAAATTAATAACCTGTTCAAATATTAATTTTCATCGTTTATAAAATGTGTTATAATCACTCATTCACCACTACGTTTATGGAAAAAGCTAACATTTACAAGAAGCATTCATGATTTAAATTTAAGGTATACGAGTACATTATCCCTACCAAGACATCGCACAGGCATATTTCAGCGTTCTTACTCATATAACACCGCCAAATATTATAATGCATTAGTCATCAAGATATTAGGAATACAGCAAATCATCAGAAATTTAAGTCAATATTAACACAAAATATTTTAAACACACAGTAACACAGAAATTTTGGTAACACTTAATCTTTGTTAAATATATTTTATGTACACTAACACAAGAATCTTAGAAGCATTTAATACTTTACTACGTATCAAGAAAAAGACATTCTAATAGTCTATAGTATACAGGGTGTTTCAGTTTATTGTTGCATAACTTTAAGATTCGATAGAACTTTTAAAATTAATGCATAAAGTTTATATAAACACGGGTCGAAAAATGCGTGGCTTCCGAAATACAGGGTGTTCAAATTTACTTTCTAAAATAGTTTTTTTTAAATATTTCGAACAATATTTGATGTATAACAGTGAAAATTGGTATACAAGGGTTTTTTGGTACGACAAAACGAACCATGGGCATAGTTTTACTGTTGCCGCTAGAAGGCGCTCTCTACTATACCTGTAGTGTATTAAAATGACCGAAAATTTTTTCTTAGTGCAATTTTTTGCTTTTTGAATAAAAAAACTGATTCTTCGCACTTTTCAACATAAAAAAGCTCTCTTGTGAATTTTCGTTATAGTTAGCCGTTTTTGAGATATTTCGATTTTTAAGGTTCGATGCATTTTTAATTATTTATGATAAAATAACGTTAAAAATCAGTATTTCGATAATTTTTAGAAGTAGGCTGTGCCTGCAAATATTTTTGAAATTGAAAGCAGAATAAGGTTAAACGTCTATTAGTTGACAGTTAGTTTTGTTGTCTGTTGAAACCTGAAACGTTTTTTGCAATTGTGAATGCACGAAATTTAGTTTCTTCTACCTGTTTTTTTTGTAAGTTTTATAAAGATGCCATTTTTATTCTCCAATCAAGAGTTAGCGGATATTCATTTTGTGTATGGCTTTGTAAATGGAAACGCAGCAGAAGCAGCCAGAGAATACGCACGAAGATTTCCAAACAGACGAGATCCAACTCGCTCAGTATTTGTAAGAGTGCATCGCCAAATAATTGAAAATGGTTTTGGAAATCTCCAACGGGATCAAAACATAAATGTTCGTCAGCGCAGATTTACCCGTATAATTCTGCGTGAGTTTGATAGAGATCCGACCACAAGTGTTAGAAGAGTTTCTGGTACCTTGGGAATTTCAGCAAGCCATGTTCACCGTGTTCTTAGAAATGATCATAGACGTCCTTACCATTTGCAACCTGTGCAAGGACTACAGCCAGAGGACGGAGAACGAAGAATCACATTTTGTTAGTGGATTCTTGATAGAACTGATAATAATAGGGAGTTTTTAAGTAACGTTTTATGGACCGATGAGTCATGCTTCACTAGACTTGGAGTGGTAAATTTTCATAATCAACATATTTGGTCGCATGAAAATCCGCATGCAGTTCGGGAAAGAAATTTTCAGCATGAATTTAGTGTGAACGTGTGGATTGGTATCTACCGTAATCGACTATTTGGACCCTACCTTTTGCCTGCAAGGTTAAATGCTGCGACCTTCTTGGAATTTTTAAAGGCTGAACATGCAAATATGTGGGATAATGTTATTTTAGATTTAAGAAGATTGGCCTGGTTCCAGCTTGATGGTTGTCCAGCTCATTATTCGAGAATAGAAATTATCCAGAAAGATGGATCGGCCGTGGATGATCAGTCGCCTGGCTTCCACGATCCCCTGACCTAAATCCATTAGAT